TCCTATACCGACAGTGAAGAGGACGTGGTTGCTGCAGATAATAGCTGTTCATAACTTCTAGGACTATGAGTATGATCTCTATAAATAAGCATTTAATCTATAAAATGTTCCATGTAGCTTCATCTCCAGGCAGAACTAGGTCATTCATCTAACTAATTCTGTATTTAAATAGATGTGAAGATTTATACAAAGCTTTTCTAGTTTGGGGAAGTAAAAAATCTTGGTTTTCATGTATCTTTTAATGATAGATTGTGAGATTATTGTATTTTATGTTTGCTATTTTGTACTACTATCACTTCTTCTAGTATAACACATTAAGTTAAATTGATCCTTCACAGTTTTACAAGTTAGACAAAAGTCTAAATGGATTACATTTCAAATGAAATAATGCAGATTAAATATTGATTGATATTAAAAACTTGACACAGATTATTTGGCAGAATGTAAAATAAAGTATAGCCTTGAAAATTATATTAACTCAGATAAATGATAGAGTGCACAGCATGAAAAGAAGTCTACAGGAGAAACTATTGCATTTAACAGTATTAATAGAGTTTTTCCAGTCTAACAGATGAAAAGATGAACCGAATCATTCTTCTAAACATCCTTTCATTTACTGAGCTTCAGAGTGGTTGGGAGCAAGTAACTATATAGCTGGAAATTGTTATCAGTAGTCCAAATGGTCATTTGATGTAACGCTCTGTTATGGACGATCAGAGTGAAAACAAAAGTAGCTACAGATTATATGGGACATACAGCTGCAGGAAATTGGATGGTCATGTACTGCAGAAGCAACATGAGTGTGTTTTCACAAATGATTATTTCTTTTTTATAAAAATCTGTGTTTTTTCTGTGTTTTTCTTGTTTATTTCTTAATGCTTACAAGCTGGCTACTCACCTGAATTGCTGCTTCCAAAATGTTTGCTACGTGTAAAAAAGAATGGTAGCAGTAATGCAAAAATTAATTCAGACTTCTGTGTATATGCTAGCAAAGAGTGTAAAAATCGAGTGAATCTGAGGCTATTTTTAGAAGCTTTATTTCATTAAACAAGAGAATGATGGAACATTTTTGTGACTTTTGCCAATTCAGTGATAAATAAGTTTTGAATTATTTCTCATCTTATAAAATACTAGGCTAAAATGAAGTGACTCACAGAAGCGATAGCTTCTTTTCTCACAGATTTTTTTTTTTTTTTTGTCTTTACAAAATACGTTATGCACAGTTGGATAACATTATTTTTGTGAATCCTAAAAGGATTCCATCGTTTTTTTCCCAGCAATGATTAGTTCTGCTCAGAGGAAAATGCTGTGTTTGCTGCTGTTTCCATCCCTGTGGCAGGGTGCTTCTGCAGCAAACCACAGCAGCTTGAAAGCAATGCACTTTCTACAGAAAAAACATACATCTGAAATAATTATCAACCTATTTAGCAGTGTTATGTTAAAACTACATTGAAAGTTTGCATTACTCAGGATTGAAACAAATTCCTGTAAAAAAAGGGCTTGAGTAACTGAAGAAGCAGAGTTTGACTGCTACTTGAGCTCATGTTTATGGTTAGTGCATCTGGAGGGAAGAATAGTTTGCCATATATTGCGTGTTTGGTGGAAAAGACATGCATCATCTTTCCATTATTCTTGCTCATAAAATAGTTCTTGTGAAAGTAGAACTGTTTTATGAAACAACTTTGATGTATTTATAAGCATAATGTGTTTTTTTCATGTATACACATAGACTACAATTATAGTGCCAGTTAAATTAGCTTCCTAAATTGTGAATAACATGGCTGTGTTTTCTATAAAACATTAATTCCAGTTTCTTTTCTAAGTACAGTTTTTGTGCCACTCAACAAAACTGCAAAGGGAACACATATGGAGCCTTAAATATTTTTTTACCTCAAGTCCTTTATAAATGGGATATAAAAGCACGTTGTATAACGTAATAAATCGTATGGAAAGGAACCACATGTTTTTCAAGTAGAAAAATGCATTTTAGTGCTCCGTGTAGTAAGTTTATATCCATATGGCATGCTTTTAATCCTCGTTACTTACCTAACCGTTCTTTCAATTCCTGCGTCATTTGTCAATTTTCATACTTCAGTGAGAGCTGTATCTACTCTAGGAAAATTTCTTGCTGTTTAGAGTAGATAGGCTTAAAAAAAAGCTAAAACTATGTAGACGCCCCAGTTCCATATTTCACTCTGGGGATTTTTATTTAGAGGCAATATAAAATAAAACGATCCTTTCCCTTCGCAATAGTAGTTTTTAAAGTATAGAGACATATTTTGTTCTTAAAATTCCTTTTCCCACCCAAAAGTGATATATATACAGAATGTATGCAAATCACCACTACAAAATGTGAGTCTCACAGTAAGATGCAGAGATCCAGAGAACTGGGGGAAAAAAAACAACCAACCTCCCCTCCCCTTCCATGAAAATAGTTTCTTTGTGGGGTTTGTCTCCCTGAGGAACTTCCTGATACTCGGATACTCTGTCATGTGTAATTGGATTGTAGCTCTTTCTGAATACTGTTTTCTCCTCTTGACAGCATGGGGTAACCTTGGAAATGTTCTCAAGAGCCAGAGCAAGATTTCTGAAGCTGAAAGCGCCTATAGAAATGCCTTGTACTACCGCAGCAACATGGCTGATATGCTTTATAATTTGTAAGTATGCGTGGCTTTCCTGGGGTTGGATCGTCTGTGAAACTTGTGAATGGAGCTATTGATTTGCTTGCTGGAAATGGAGATGATGTTAGCTCTTGCTTTGTAATAGTAATTTCAATAATCGTGCTCCTTAAACTATGGGGTGGACTGGACCTTTTCTTGGTCAACATTATCGTGTATTCATGTATTGGGTATGGAGAAGGCAAACTTAGAAATGTGTTTGCTTTAAAAGAAGCAAAAATAACCCCACACTGCACAAAGTACAGAGAGATGAGCTGGCAACAGTAGCACTCCGTCTGTTTCCGACTCTGCTAAAATACAGAGATCTTATTTAGACGTCTTTGTTAAGTCTGAATAACACTTGGTGGGGAGAGTGGGTGTAAGCACTTCCTAGCATAAGCCAACACCCCTCAGTTAGCTTCAGAGGTCTGAAAAGTTAACACAGCAAAGTACTTTTCTTCTGTGACTGACTTTAGAGCAACATAGGTTCAAGAAAGTTTAATTACTAGAATCCTGTTGTAGATGGAAAAGAATAAATACCATGAGCATCAAAATAATTATACAGCAGGGAAAAAGATTTTCCAACTCATTAACATATCAAATTATGAACACAGAAGCTGGCGTCGTGCTAAGTTTCTCACTGAAGCATGATTGTACCTTGTGCCCCAGTGGAGAAGAGGCAGATTCCCTGGGTGTCCTGGCTGGGCTTCTCACCTGCTCCCTGCTCAGCACTGCTCGTTCTCTGGGCGCTCGCCCTTCCTTCCCCTCCTGCCATCACCCATCCAGCCTGAGCCCCTGGAGTGGGGCTCTGCTGCAAGACAGGCTCATCACCTTCAACAGCCGTACACTATTGTTTCATGGTGTGTATGGAAAACAAAATCCAGGTGACTGCTGTTCATTAGCTAGTAGTAAGAAAATAAAGTCTAAATAACGGAAATTCAAAATAATTTAATCATAGAATTTCTATTCCAAAATCAAATTCATATCTCAAAATATGTATATTTTTAATAATCATACAATTACACACATGCAGATATGCATGTAATTTTTTTCTCTCTATTAGGCAATGGAGACTGTGAAAAGCATATTTTTAAGAAACTCCTTCTGCTCACATGTAAAAAATAACTTCTGAACCCAGCAGGAGATTGTAGGAAAAAAAGTAATAAGATTGATACTCTTAAGTTTCTCATACACCATTCATCTTGGGGATGAAAATTACAACTATTAAAATTTTTTGTATGCCTATACAGTACTTTTGTCTCTTACTCACTCACTGTATCATAGAGAGAAACTGAAATTAATACCAGGGTAAAAATAGGAAAGAGGGCTGGGCGATAAAGACAGGGATATAAAAGAAACCAGATTTCAGTAGTTTTGCTGTTCTCAGAACAAGCTGATAATCTTTCAGCTTTCCATTGATATACAAAATATATGCCTACAAACCTTCATTTCTGTTGAATAGAAAGTTTCTTGGAATTTTACGGAATTTGTCTAAAGAGAATTCAACTGAAATGCTGGTTGGAATATGTATACTACAAAAGTAAAGGAAGTATATTCAGAGGGAAGTGCTTGCTATATAATGTGTGTATATGTATGCGTATGCAAAAAAGAATCTTTAATTCTTAACCTTTCTACTACTATCTTGAATGCAGTAGAATCCTTTCTTTTTTAAGCTTCGCAGAACCATTAGTTATTCAATAGAAGCATCTTTGATAATTTTTTTGGTTTTGTAGTCTCTCCCTGTGCTGGATACTTCCATATCCAGCATGCAAACTAGGTGGTGAATGGAGTGGGCTTTGATATTACGAGACCACATACAAATCAATTATTTTAAGCATAAACTCTGAAGAGCTCTCTTGCAAGTTCAGCTCATCCTTGGCATGCAGTTCTATGGGAGCCTTTTACAAAAAATACTGTAATGGAAAAATGCATCTTGTATGTGCTTACAAGAGGTCAGCTAGATTTGGTGTTTCTGGTTTTTAGTATGTGCCTTTGAAACAGAAACAGTCATTTAGTAGAACTTTAGGAAAAAAGCACCCTTACAGTCACTTCTAATTACTGTATTTTGGCCATAATATATCATAAGTATATTGTAGTCTCACACGCTCTTTATTTTTTCTTAGCACTTATGCCTCAGTATTTAATACAAATTAATTGGCACATGCAGCTCAGTGTTCACACACAGCAACTACAAATCAAAGTGCTATCTGATCAAGGAAGAAATTATGAAGGATTAACTCACAATTTTTAATGAGTAACAATCAAAGAGAGAAACTACATAAACAGAAGCATTTGATGATCTCTCCTTTTTCAAAAGCTAAATGTGAGGTTGGCTTCGAAGTTGGCTAGTAGTGCATTAAAATCTAGAGAATTTAACAGATTAGATGCATGCGTGATTTCAGTGGTATATTTTTGTTTTCTGACTGTTATACCTTATGGCTCTGAGTTACAGCTGCTTTTGCCATTTCAGACAATTTAAACTGCATTAATTTAGATTACCTAATTACAGAATCTCCATTTGAAGGTTGAACATGTCATTTCCCATAATGTTCAAACATGTCAATTTCTAAACTTGTAGAGACCAGAAGATTTTTTTTTCAATTATTATTTTTATTTATTAAAAGGAAGGGGGGGGCGGGAAGGAAAAAAAAAAAAAGAAGCTCTTGTTAACATTAATATTGGGTTGGTGATTCATCACTACTTTAGATATGGGCTAAAATGGATTTGTTCTGTTGACATTTTCTCTGATCCAAGTAAGTATAAGTGAAACTTATGCATAGTTTATACCTCAAGATAGCTTGTGACCCAGTGTGTCTTGAAGATAGGAATTTAGGAAACTTGTGTTCAGGCTGAGGGCTTGAATTCTTGTTTGGAAGTTTGTTTTCTGAAACTCTCATGAAAAACTCAGAGGGTAAATTCTTGGCAACTCTGAAAGCATTTGAGATTTTCATAGCAATTTCAGTGCAGAAAGGATTTCAGTTATTGTTTTGTGATGTAGGTGGAGAATGTATTACAATATGACTTCAATAAGGTAGTTCGTACTTCAAAAATACATAGAAAGTGGCTTCTTATAAACAACTTCTCTGACATCTTGAGACTGCACTGCAGGTAATTTTTACCAAAAAAATCTCAAAGCCAACTTCTCAAAGTTACATAACGTTGCTGATTTTCAGCTAGATTTCGTAGAGTAGTAAATCAGCATAAACTGGGATCTCTTTCCATGCTCTGTAACGGAGAAATCTGTATATTTTAATACGGTGAAGTACCAAGGACAGAGCTATAGAAAAACAGTAGTTTGTTCTTCCAAACTAGGCATGGTTCAGTAGATTAAAACAAAACTATTTTTAGTTTGTTTTGGCTTTTCAGTCTTTGTTGCCTTATGATTGTTACCTAAAGCTCATGGGGTTTTTGTATTGTTTCAAATTTCTTCTAATTAATGCCTAGCATAAAATTGCTTCTCAGTCAAAAGACAGTTTTGCATACTTATTTCACTTATGTTTAAGCCTAGCTCTGCTTAGAGTATTCTTTTATGATCTCTATCAGTAATCTGTATTACCATGAGTTTCTCAGCAGTTTTAAGGATGTTAGCAGTCTACATAAATATCGAATATTCCTTTAAAATGGTACTAATAAATTTAAATGTTGTACTTTTGAGTATACAGTGCCTTATAAAGGATAAATTTCTACCAAACAGCCACCCTGTTGCTTCTCTCCCAAAATATCTCATGTTGTCTTTAGTGATATAGGGCTGTATATACAAGTTGTTATTCAAGTAATTTAATTTCTTTGAATAAGTTCAAAGTATGAATTTCCGTAAACTTTACTTCAGCAAACTTAAGGTATTGTGTCAATAAATGTGAATTTTTTTAGATTTCTGTTAGGTGAAGTCTTCAATAGTAGTTGAAATTTTAATTCTGTAAAGTCTGGGATTGTGGAAGCGTTTTATATGCAAATTTTAACTCCACATCCTCGAGTAAAAGTCAGTATGAGCAAAATTCTTCCTTGTCTGTTGTTGATAGCCTATATAACATCTGAAATTGTGTTCCCTCTGCTTCTGCCTTTTAAAAATGCTGGCATAAAAATCTCCTTTGCTGAGCTATCAGACGAAAAGCACTAAAAGCAGGCTAACCCACTAACCGATGTTGAACTGTATTTGAACCTGCCTTAGACAAAGTTGCTGCACCACTTCACGTAGTAGGAAATGAGTCAAGGTTATGGTTGCTCTTCCTTGATAGCCCACAAGTTTTTATAACGCAGGATGTCGAGTTAAAAAGTAAAGAGGATGTGTTGTCTGGTGTCTAAGTACTTGATTATTCTTTTTCTCAGCTGTGAATGCAAACTTGTTACAAACCTGTTTGGAGTTAATGTCTGCTTTGCCAGATGGTTCTTCCTTTTTCAGAAGTAGCTGAAATTTGTGTCTTACTGTAACCAAACTTGTCTTGATAAAATCTTGCTGTATTGTGCGAACAGCTATTGAGGTAGCACCCAAAGGTCACCTGGATGACCGATAGTGTCCTTCAGTGCAGAACTCCACTCCGGGACTCTTTATAGGGCCTGTATGAAATAGATGTTTTTGTTAGTAATATCAAGAGCTGAAATACCTATTAATGACCTAGCTATTATTAATGACCTAGCTATTATTAATGACCTAGCTATTCAATTACATGCCTCAATATTTGAAATTGTGGTGGTTCATAGCCCTCACATAAACTGTGTCCGTTTCATAAAATTAGGAAAATAATTGTCAGACTCAGGAGATTTTGCCATTCAGTTTTGTAAAAGGCCCCTCTTGTAAGAGGTTCTCTCCAGCTCTCGATCTACATTTCCTGCTGGGGCACATGATGGGGCATAGATGGCTCGATTGAGGATTGCTGGCACTGCACACTGCTGCTCAATGTCCAGAGGAGGGAGAAAGGCAGGAGCAATGCTACTTCTCATCCTTATGGCAGCCCTCCCTTTGTCAAGGACACAGGAGTTGTGAGAGTTGATGCCATGCTGAA